GAGCTGTTGGAACTAGGATGCACGCCGATGATAAATGATTATTGTATTATTATATTATTATAATAATAATATTATATGATAGTATAATATTATACACCCATTTTCAGTCGATATTTTAGCTTCTATGACATCATTTAAAAATTTCACATATAACAGTGTTCCATTACATAATGCTATGGTGGAATAGTATTTCTTTAAATCATAATAGGTGCTGTATTATGTGAGATAAACTGATACTGTCAATTAATTAATAATTCTATGGGGTAGTGTATTGCATCGTCGAGATAACATACAGTTTCAATCGATTTATATGTTTCCTCTTCCTCAAAAATGAGTGTAATATATTTTGATTAACTTCWTCTGCTCTATTATTTTGAGTGGAAAATATGGCTCTTTCACATAACCATTTGTAATAGTTTATATCATTTGTCTATACATCAGAAAATACTTGCATTTAAAGATGCAATTTRAGCGATCTAGAACAAATGGACGTGTTGACAATATTGGACTAAAAAAAGAAAAATTTTAAATTAGTTTATAAAATTAATAAGTTATTTATATCTATTAAAATACGTCAACCTCGAATATAAAATACTTAAATGTAATTATATTATATTTTATATATATGAAAATAGAAAATGTAAATATATTATATTTTATATATATAAAAATAGAAAATGTAAATATATTATATTTTATATATATAAAAATAGAAAATGTAAAAATTAAAAATATATCTAAAACAAATTATATTAGTTAGTTATACTAATGAGTTATAATAAATTATTCCGTACCTTTTCATACCTTAAACATTGTTCTTGTCGTTTAGCTTTTCACTCATCATCACACACACTTTAACTCTCAAATGCTTGAATCTATACTCTTAAATATTCAGTCCACTCTCCTCCTCCTACAGGGTTATYGACAGGTCATCCGTGGCGTGAATAATCACACACGACGCGCTATGTGTAGGCCACCGACAGCGCACGCACACGCGTACACGCATCACCTACCTAATCAATAAAAATAAATGTAAAAGGAAGTTTTAAATAGCAATAAATGTTTCGAATAAAGTTCAAATTYAAATAACGTTTAAACGCATAAGTTGAATAAAGTTTAAATTCTTTATAACGTTAAACAGTCACTCGATCATAACGTTTAATATCCATATAACGGTAAACGGTATTATTTTTTTTGATTTAAGCCCTGGTTTAAACACATTAATTTAAAAGTTTAATAAATATAAACTTCGAAGTGGCATGTTCTACTGGCGTGGCATTGTGGGGTTGTAAATATAATCTCGAGTGAAGTATTAGATAAATCGGTAAAAAAAAGTTGATTTACTAATTTTGGTATAATTGTGTTGTGATCTAACAACAAATTTTTGGTCAGTGGTCAATCCATGGTCTTAAAATGTGTGAATGATAATAAATGTAATATACGATCAAAGGGCATACTTATTAAAAAATCAGTCTCATCTCTCCTCATGACAATATTATTTGCCCAATGCCCATCACTGCCACAGTGTTACTGTGAAAGGCTAATGTGAAGGCTGACGGTCACCGGTGAATACGATGTGAGAATCCGGAGCTTTTTAGGGCTCCGTAAAACACCAACGACAAAAGCGGAACACTCTTGCCGTGACCTATGAGCCGCACCGCGTGATGAC